GGAGGGAGAGACTGTGAGGAGAAACGCGTATTACGGGTCATATTTGGTCTAGGGATAGGAGGGGGTGTTTTTGGACGCTTGAAAATTTCCTGGATGCTTGGAAGGGCTCCAGTGGATGGCATCGCATTGACTGGTATGTGAGAAGGAGGGTTCTCTGAGGGTGTTGAAGACTGTTGGAGGTTTTCTACTGAACAGGTGCATGGAGCTCCTGCAAAATGTCGACTGAATATGCAAGGGCTTTGCAAACGCTTGTCTTGTGGCATAGATGCCAGTGGAGTTGTCACCTGTGACAGTTTCGGTGCTTGGGCTTCACTGGGGAAATATTTCGCCACCCATTGCTTCACACCTCTCTCAGGCTTTGCTATGCCAAGATTTCTTACTTTGAGCTCATCCAATTTGCGTTCTAAGTAACTCGGATCAGTTAATGCTCTGCCTAAAATATTCACTTCACAGTCACTTAAACAGTTTTATGAGAGTTGAAATAAAGTGAGAGGCACATACGTAAAATGCTTTGTGAGGGGGCTGTATGAGAGTGGGTCAAGAATTTAGCCTAAAGTGGGTAAGCATAACCACACAATTAGAAGGAAACTTACAGTTAGCTGCCTGCCTGTTTGAGCAGTGTTTCTAGAGGCCTGTACGCCAACCTCCGGCACTTCATCTAATAATGATTCCAATATTGGAAACGATTGAGGTGCGATGGGTATTGGGTTGCAGGGTCGAGGCATGTCGAATGGACTTTTGCCAAAGTTATCCAGAATTGGTGAATCTGGAGATGAGAAGAGGAAGGACCGATTAAGCTCAAAATAGACCGGATCAAAGTGCCGATCCATCGCACTTAATTCAACGTGAAGATTTACTCTCTCCACCTTCCTCTTTTATAGTATTTACAACAGCCAATCAGCACTTGGTGTACTCCTCCAAGTAGTTGTAGGGCCATGAGTGCTGTTTTAGAAAGGAGATCACCTCGAGTGTACAAAGTTGTAGGCAGTATGCAATGAGGAAGCGGGAGTTAATGGTGACATTTAATGAGCTTTTGTTTCGAATTCTCGGGCCAATTAGCCTCACCCTCACCCTCACGACTTTTCCACATCCGCCTCGTCGTTCTCTATTAACACATTCATCTCCTGGGTTATAGGCAGACGACCACAATGTATATTTTTGTTGGTTGCATGGAGATTCTCTACAAATGAATGAGCAAGAATGAGAGAGACCAAGAGCCTCAGTTAACATACTGTGTACAAAGACCCAAAACCTTTATCTCTATTGTGAGCAATAGAGAGTTTGTTGCGACAAGAAGGGGTGATTTATGGTAAAGCAATTTGGCACATCGAGTTGGGTCAAGTTGATCAGAATCGTCTCCAGAATCAAGGTATGAGAATGGAAATGTATTTTCAATATGCAATATACTGAACTAGTGGAAGAAATTTCTCATTTAAATCTTCAAATTGGTCTCATTTGCATTCAAGAAAGAGCCTCAAATCTAGTCCCACTTATCTGAGCATTACTTTCTAGAACGCCCAAATACACAACGAACGAATGCTAATATTCTATCTGCCGTATCTCTCACAATAGCCGTGCAATTCAAAAGCAAATCAGTCATTTTGGAGCAAATTATTTAATCTTTCTTAGAGCATTATTCATCTGAGCCCAACTGTTATACGAAATGACCTTGACCTATTAAGGGAGTACTTTCGATTTGGAGAATCCACTAAAGTTCTTCCTTTGATCACCACGCCAAGTGTCTCCGTCTTGTCTCTATTTGTGTACTCTCCATTTATACTATTAGCCACAAAATATACTTTGTCAGTTGGAATATTAGTAATTGAGGCAACTCAATCTTTCTGTTGGAAAGAAGTTGAATGAGCATCGATTTGTTATGCTTAATGACAAAATATGGAATTGTTCTGAGGTATGCATTAGTGGGTTAGCATGGAGTCTCGAAGGCCTATTTATGAACTGACAAATGTTCCACTAAATGTTGGTTGGTGCTAAAGAACTGTCTTTATTAGTATCAAAACAAACGAGTCGTAAAGATCCATAGTGTTTCATGCACACCAAAAATCAAGGTGTCTACTTCATATGTGACATGGATATAATATTTCTTGCTAAGAAAGGTTAGGGCAGTTCTTGCAGACTCGGAGAAGTGGAGTGAAACATGACCAAGACAAGTCGAGTTGCTGGCCATTCTCAGTGGACCAAGCTAAGCAGTTGAAGTTGGTGAAAGCGTGTATGTCTCGAAGCTTGAATCTTGGCAGAATTAAGCTTGGAATTCTATCTAACCCAATACTAATCGTATGCAGGGATTTAATTCCATTTCGACCACATGTGGTAGAACCGAGAGCAATCATTCTTACAAACATGTACACAACAAACTAGTACGACTTGCTTGGACTTACACCGGGTTCATAGCTGTAGGCATTGTAGATCTGTAATACTTCCAATTCACGCGAATTGTTCAGCTTGGTGATTGCTTTAAGGTTTGCTGTACCTCGTGGGGACTTAGGAAAGATCTCTCTCTCTCTCACCCTCAGAAGTAGTTACTCAGTATTCACCTTAGTTCAACTGCTTTCCCAAACTAAATTACGTTATGAAAGAGAAGGACTTTTGCTCACCTAGGCACTAGACGCCTATGAGATCCCGAAGATGTGCTGCAATGAAAAGAGTAAGCTGAGATGGAGCAGGCCGATTCGAGCCTGGGTGCAAACTAGAATTTTTGTTCACTCAAGGCCACTTGAGTTCCACTCCCCAATATTATGTAATGAGCGATTTAAATAAACGAATTTTTATTTTACAGCAATACCATTTTAAACATGTGATAGTTTCGTGACAACGTATTTGTAATAATAAGTTTATAATTATTTTATCGAATAAATTATCTTAAATGCTATTGAGGGGTTGAATACGATGTGGGGTTGGGAATATGTGTTAAACATCTTACGATTTTGATAGTCATTTATACTTAACCAAACAGAAAGTTCTCCCCGTTTCAGGAATTAATTCACCACATTGGCCAAACTGAAATGTGAGGACTGTTGAATCGATATTCGTTTATACTGCAAACCCATGAGTGACCAGAAAATGTAGAAATGTGAGGATCTATTTTGTATCAATAATTACGAATTCACCCATGTTAATTTTCGTGATCTCTTGCAAGACCTATTGACATCATATTCAACGATGTGAGATTGCCAAGAAAATGAGTAGTGGGTTAGATTTTATGGGGAAGTTTTAAAAAAGACAGAGGCATTTACTGTGACACATATCGAAATTGAAGTAATTAGCGGCGTACATACTTATCGTCCCAGAAGAGATAGTATTCTTCTCATTGAACCATCGTTCCTCACCCTCCATCCACTACATGTTGCTACTGCATTAAGGTGGTCTGTGTGGGCATTTGGAGTTAAATCAAATGAGTTGCCAAAATAACGTATTCAGAAATTTATATTTGTTTGCTTCGTCTATTTATTTACTTACAAGATGAGGTGTGTTCAACTTATTTCAGGTAAATAGATTCTACCAATCATGCAATTCAAAACATTGTGGACGCTATGGCAGTAGGTTAAAATTTTCTGTGTGAATATGGAACAGGTAGGAGTCAGGTTTGCTTTGACTCAGACATTGTAATGTAATAAGAAGCACACACGAGTCCATTAGTAGACTTGATGTTCATTTTCTTTCGATTGAAATTGGCATTGATGCTACTCTCACTATTATTAATGCAAAATCTGGCACACATTTAATGGGTTAATTATTTGGTTGATGCGTATGAAGTTGTCCTAGTCTGCTAAATTTACCCATTGCTTAAATTCACCAAGATGCAAATACAATGATGCCTCATTATGCGAACAATCAAGCTCTCATCTTTTACTGACTGGACATTCGAGATAAGCAGTTCAACAGGCCGTTAGGCAATACTGGTGAAGATATCACCTTGGAATCTCATCAAAAAGTGCTCACTTCAAAGTTCACTCCATTAAGTACAGCAGTGGTGCACCCTCAATTCTGCAATCAGAAATACTGCTCTGAAGTCATCAGTTACTTTCATCTATTATATTGTCTACTCCAATCTCGTGCTCGGGACAGTCGATTGACATTCAAATACCCCGTCTCCTAATAGTTACTACTTAATATCCATATTCAAAGACATCATGTCTTTTACTGGAAACGTTGCAGGGATCATTTGAGAGAGATGTGAAGAACTGACCTCTTATATAATGGAATCATTCTGTCTTATGTGCCTCAGCAGAAGTTGGTAATTGATCCATCAGACGATCAGATATTCAAGTTGTTCCCAATTAACATGACGTTCTTCAACAATATTTGTTGTTGCTTCTCTACCTATTGCACTTCAGCACAATGCATTCGCCTTCCACATCCAAATTGCTTCCTCTTCTCGTCTCACCAAATCTTTC